CAGCAGAGTCCTCCCCTTACATCAATGTGTGCCCAGCAGAGTTCCCCCCCCCCCCCCCTTACATCAGTGTGTGCCCAGCAGAGTCCTCCCCTTACATCTATGTGTGCCCAGCAGAGTCCTCCCCTTACATCTATGTGTGCCCAGCAGAGTCCTCCCCTTACATCTATGTGTGCCCAGCAGAGTCCTTCCCCCCTTACATCTATGTGTACCCAGCAGAGTCCTTCCCTTACATCTATGTGTACCCAGCAGAGTCCTTCCCTTACATCTATGTGTACCAAGCAGAGTCCTTCCCTTACATCTATGTGTACCCAGCAGAGTCCCCTCTCTACAAAGTGGTGTTGACCCTGACACTATGCGGACACCATCAGATGGGAGATCAATCAGCCACAACTCGAGGAACCTCTAGCGACTTCTGATTGACAATGGTTCTCTAGACACCTATAGAATAAAATTCATATAAAGGAAGCGGAAGTTCTACAAGGTTTCCCGTCTACCGTAAACCAATCACCATTGGATGGCCTTATTACTTGCTGCCTAGAGTTGCTCTATACGGCTTAATTCCTAGGCAGAACCTGTTCTAATTAACCGCATGCGTCTTCATTCTAAATCTATCAGGCTGTTCCTATGAATCAGATGGCAGTCGCTTGTGTATGTATTACCTTGTGACCTCTCTTCCATGTAATATTACAAAAGCTCAGTGTGTAGGCAGGAGCGTCGTACAAACAGATGTACATTTTATTGAGAGCAGAGCAAATATTCTTTGTAACCACATTCCTAGAGAGAGCCTTCGGGTGGAAATATGTAGAAAGGAGATATTTCTTATCTACAGCAGCTTGGAACGTTAATGCGGAACTCCAGCCATTAGGTCTTACATGGGCTACGGAAACGTTGGAGTCTCTGTTGGGTTTTTATGGACTTCTGGGTTCCCGTTTTCATAGATCTGATTCTGGATCCATGACTACTGTCTCTAACACAGGAAGCGAAAGGGATTCTTCTTCACAAGAATGAAGACGGCGCCCTGTTCTACATAAAGAAGAAAAAAGCTGGAGTTCTGCATTCTATTACATTAAAGGGAACCCGTTGCCTACGTTCATTCTCTGTTTGCTCTGCTGCTCTGATTGCCTGCTGGCATCAAATGGAAGGAGCCCTGGGTAAGCTCCAAGTTGGTCTCATTGGAACTTATTCTGGGCTAAGGACTTTCCTCTCCCCATGGGACAGTGCTGGGGTCAGACGTCTGGTCCTCAGTGCTGTTTTGTGGGAGGACAGCGAGCGTGCCACACAATCCCACGTACTTGAAATTACAAGCAGCAGGGTTGGCTATTTAGTGAACCTGTTAGCGTGCCATGAGTGGGTTACGGGCTCTCTTTAAAAATCACGTTCTACCGTGTTATGTGTCTGACCATGTATTGAGTTTCAATTATGGGTATACTTATATGGGGGATACTTTCACATTGAATAATTCAGACTTCCCATAAAGGCTCAGGCAGTGATTTCTCAGCACCGCAGTTCCCGGCTCCACCCAACCAATACGGTCATTAAATTCAACCTTTAGGTCTCGTGCACTCATTGGGCCCCTGGTACATGAGGCTCTGGTGTGTACCTGTGGGGTGCGCTGTCCAGCCTTGCTGCTGGCTGCCTGTAAAACTTTGACAGTCTGACAGCCGCTGCAGCTGGACCAGGCTGGGTGGTGCATTCAGCAGTACTGAGATTGTGCCCAGGGATGAACGCCCGGAATGTAGACTGCTTGTGTTCTGGGCATTCCTCCCTGGGCTCATACTGTTCTAAACATACAAACCAATAGGTGAACATCCCAGCTTTTGACCCTCCTAGAGTTTGACAAACTGCCAGCTATGGGACTGGACGGTGCGCCTGGGCCCTCCTGCAGCAGCTACATACCGGAACTTCATATGCCGAGTGTGCATGGGGCCTCAAGATTCACTTTTCATGTGAATCATTAGGACACATGAGCCTTATCAAATTTTATTATGTTTCAGCAGGAAAGTTCAAAACTAGCCTTAGAAAGTCCTAGTTTATCGAAAGAGTAGTTGATGCTTTTCATAGACTTCCAGCAGAGGTAGTGTCAGTCAACAGTAAGTGGACAAGCATGCTTGGGATAAACATAGATCTATACTCCGCACATGGGGAACGCCACACTCCCAACCCGATCGGAGTATAGACACAGGTGTAGAACAGCCTCAGCCAGCTCTGCTCCACAAACCATGCCCTAACCCATTTTGCTCCACCTATCAGGGGTTTAGTCTCTGACTAAGCCCTGATGGGCAGGACGAAACGCGTTGGAGTGTGGTTTGTGGAGCAGAGCTGATTGAGGCTGTTCTACACCAGTATTTAAACTTCAGTCAGATCAGGAGTGCAGCGTTCCCCATGTACACGGATTTTGACACTTGCTGAATAAGTGAGCCTGTATGGTGGCACGCGATTTCAGAGCACCGAGAGACTGAACTTCTCCCTGCTTAGAGCGGCACTTCAGCTTCCAATCTGGGTCACAATAGATCTATACTCGTTTGAACTTTTTCTGTTGTCACTGTTTCTGTTTTTGTTGTTACAAAAACTTTTTTCCTGCCTTTAATAACCGTGTCCTTGAAATTCCAGCCTAGATCACATGGTCTCTGACTACCAATCATTGCTCTACTGAGTCTACTTTCCAATTAGCAGTGTGACAAGCTGATCAGAGAGTCTGCCTACCAGGTGCATTGTGGGTGTTTTGTGTCATTAACGACTGCGAACAGTCTCTCCTTTTTCAATTGGTCAGGCACTGTCTGGTAGACTAAAGATGGCCACACACTAGTAGATTTTCAAACAAATGTTTGTGAGTAAATTCTATGTACATTAAATGATGAAAGTTGTTCGAGAGTACTTCAAAATTTCTGTTTGTTCGCTGTTAGCATTCCATTTTGGAATGCATGGACTTTCCTGAACCAATCCCACATTCACAATTAGAAATTCATTCATTAGACAAAAAATGTTTCCATCCTGCTCCTTCGAATTTTCTCATCACTGCAGGAGAAAACGAACTTCGATTTGCCTCCGCTAATGATTAGAAAATCAAATAAACATTCTCAAAATTTAGTATTACACCCCGGTCACATCAAACCCGACTTTAAAATTTTGAAGACTTCACTGTAAGTCACACGATTTCAAAGTCGGGTGGCTTCTTGATTTCATGTGAGATTTGCAAGACATCTGGCCCAGATGTCTATGCAAATCGCACCAAAAGTAGTGCATGTACTGCTTTAGAAATCGGAGCGGCTCCGACCAAGTTGGAACCGCACCGATATGACCGCTGTAATTGTGGACAATAGGGTGTGACTTGGTATGTGATTTGCAAGTCGCATGGTATGCAAATTGCATGCCATTTCGTATCCAGTGTGACCGGGACTTAGTGTAACAAAAGGATCAGCAGGGCACAGTCATTCTGATCCTCCCAAGACCTTCTGCTCTCTAGTTCCCATGTCACCTCCTTCCATGCTTGCCTCCAGGACTTCTCCCGAGCTTCTCCCATCCTATGGAACTCTACCATAATCTGTCTGGCTGTCTCCTAATCTATCCACCTTTAGATGGATCCCTGAAAAACTTTCTCATTAAAGAAGTCTATTCTGCTTCTACCTAGTAAACCGCCATTTATTTCCTCCATCAGCTCATCCCCCACATCTATTACCTTTTGTATCACTCAACCCTTCCTTCTAGATTGTAAGCTCTAATGAGCCGGGCCCTCTGTCTCCTCTTGTACCAAATTGTATTGTAACTGTAATGTCTACCTTCATTTTGTAAAGCGCGGAGCAAGCTGTTGGCACTATATAAATCCTGTATAATAATAATTAGAAAAGCTACAATTTCTGGGGAAATTGTGTGAAGTGTTCTTGCCTCCACCCGTAGTGGCTTTTGGGGTCCGTGATCACCACACCTGGGTTACTTGCGAATGCCAATGGCCACAACCGGAGTGGGAGGAGTAGCTTTTGTCACTCTGCTGCCTGCTCACACACCTGGGTTCCTATGGCAACTCACTCTACAGCAAGGTCAGAGAAGAGCTGTTAAAAACAAACTGCTCCAACTTGCTCACTTCACTGGCGGTTGCCATCTTCAAACGGTTGTAGTTTAAAAATTATAAATCCTACACCGAAGAGCTTTATATTGTGAGAATCACAAGACCCAGACCTATATGTTGATGCCTAGTATGTTTCTGAAAATATTAAAATGAAGGCACAGTTGCAGTTTAGAAATTGCCCTTCAAATTTGAGGTGGCTAGAGTGGCGTTTCAATGAATGTAAATGGGCGGCGTGAGTTGCAAACAAATGGTCATATTGTGAAAACTATCAGGACTATGGCTTAGCCGTGGACATTTTTAGTGGCAGCAGGGATAGCTGAACGTTTTGATATAAGATTTGTGTAGGTGGGCTTGAAAATGAGGGAGTGATGGCAGTTTAGAAATCATGTCCTGATTTTTCAGCTCACGACATTTAGGAACGGACTGATGGCCCAGTTATGTTTTCAGAAAGCACTCTAGCTTTTGTCAGCTCCCACTCTAGTTTTGAACATTCCACCATTCATTCCTATGGGACCAATTTCACCACAAAAACGCTGATATTTCGTGAACCATTTGGCGAAACATTCCACAAAGTAATGGCACGCCAATCGGGAACAATCCGCACGTTTCGTATATTACTGTCTATGTAGTGTAAAAACTGTGGGAGGAGTTAGGGTGGTAAATTTGGCTATAATAATAAGAATATATATGAGAGATAACAGGAAGTGGTCTGCCATGCAAGAACACTTAATAATTGTGTTGCAGTACTAGACAGGAAGCCTGCGGATGGCAATTAGAAGACACAGATATGGATACGTTGTCACAGCTGCATTAATCATTGAAATATGGTTATATTCATTATTTGTTTGTTTCCTTCCCCTTTATGTCAAATGCCATGGCTAGAGCTCATACACTAAACTTCCTGTCACCATTCTGACCGTGGTTTGTTTTTCTGCAGGACACGGGTGTCGGAAAATCTAGTATCGTCTGGCGGTTTGTAGAAGACAGCTTTGATCCGAATATCAATCCAACAATTGGGTGAGTGTTCTTGTGTTCTGATAGCAGCTACCATTTAATGTATGGTTAAAATCCATGTCAGGTTTTATATTGCTGTTAATTTTCTGCTGAAGAGATCTCCCTTCACTTCCTGTCCCAGAGGAGCAAAAGGAAAGCGATGGGAAAATCTTCCAATGGGGACATCTGATTTGTGACACTTGTTAGTTGTCACAAACTAGGTGTCACCAATGGAAGATTTACCTTCCCTCCTTCTGTTCTGGTAACTGTAAAAATGTGAGTTTCTCATAGCTCTGCATAGAAACCAATCAGCTTCCAGGTTTTATTGCCAAATTTATTAGAACAAGTTGACGGTAGAAGCTGATTGGCCACCAGATTCTGAGTGTTCCAGTTTTAGTAAATCTCCCCATATATGTCTGTAATTATACCAGTGCTGAGTAACGAAGAGTTTGTCTCCCTTGCTGCCTTTGAACTGCCTGACCTCCTGCACAGCACACTGACAAGCTGACAGCCTGTGAGGCTCAGGCAATTGATAGGTTAGAACCTGTCCGATGTCAGGTGACCTTTGACCTTCTGATGCCCTCAGCCTCATAGTTTGATCCTGACAAGTGCCTTTCAAATTCTGTTTTATTTCAGGGCTTCTTTTATGACCAAGACTGTACAGCATCAGAACGAACTCCATAAATTTCTTATATGGGACACGGCTGGACAAGAGCGGGTAAGCTTAGATTGGAAGACTTTTGATACCGTCGCTCTGTTTGCTTAGTTCTGCTTCAGGCTTTGGGGAACTTTGCTACAACAGCAGTTAATCGACTTTCTGCACACATCCAAGTTAGCCGTGTCAATGAACATCAACTGCAGCACTGTGCAGTCATTCGCTGTCAATGGCCTGTCTAGCTAGTCTGTATTCAGCAGGCTTTTCACAATGCTTATGGAAGGCACTGCAGCCCCATGCCATGGGATCCTCTGTCTAAGAATCACAGAGGACAGTGCTTGGCCAGCATTTATGTAGGCTTGAATTTGAGACTGTTAAAAAGAAAGTAAAGGATACTGTCCACCAAAAGTATGGGCAGCACTGTGGCTAAGTGGTTAGCACTTCCACCTGGCAGTACTAGGGGCGCCGGTTCGAATCCCAACCACAGCACCACCTGCCTGGAGTTTGCATGTTCCCCCTGTGCCTGCGTGTGTTTCCTCCGGGTACTCCAGTTTCCTCTCACACTCCAAAGACCTGCTGATAGGTTAACTGGATCCTGTCTGAATTGAGTATGTCTATGTATGAATGTGCGTTAGGGGCCTTAGCTTGTAAGCCCCTTGAGGGTTAGGGACTGATGTTACATAGTTAGTCTGGCTGAAAAAAGACAAAAGTCCATCCAGTTCAATCATTAAAAAAAAAAATAAAAAGGTGAATGTAATTGTGTGTGTGTAAATTGATGGTGCTATACTGGAGTAACTAGCTGTCAGGATGATGGTCAGAATGAAAACTACAGACCCTTTGCAGGCTGTCCCCTGAGTTAGTTGAAATGCAGAATATTTATGACTGCAGTGTACATTTAAACATCTTTAAAAGTGCAAAGGCTACTGTAAAGTAATTATACTGTCAAACCCTCTGGAGATCCTTTACTCATTTCAAGTTTGGCAGCTTCCCATAGACCGTAATACACAAAGTCCTCTTATCTCTGTTCAGAAGAGAACAATAGTTGATGGCTTACATTTTCCACCCAGTTTGATTGGGCTGTCTAATAGCAAGCTCAATCATTTAATAAGTGCCTGTTGTTTTCCTGCTTTGTATTGGTTTGCATCATCCTACAGTTGGCCTCCAGGAATGATGAGCTGTGTAATGGTGAGCTGTGTAATGGTGAGCTGTGTAAACTATATATCTATAGGTGTTTATAACGACCTGTCTTATTTCCTTCTAGTTCCGTGCCTTGGCTCCAATGTATTACAGAGGATCGACGGCGGCCATCATTGTGTATGACATTACAAAGGAGGTGAGCAAAACCTGGTCCTGGTAGGGGTTGAGCTTCAAGTCTTAAAGAGAACCTGTCACTTGTATTCTTGCATTTCTCATTTATCTGTGACCCTCCATCTGTACTGGAGACCTCCAGTGACCTGTTTCTTGTAGAAATAAAATCATGTACAGGAGTGGGATTATTAGAGCCTACTAGCCTTAGGTAAAGATGGTCATGGATGTTTGATTCTTGGGTTCCTGAGCAGCCAGTCAACAAGCTCCTACGCTGTCACATGGGGAGAAAGAGGAGCGAGTCGCATGCTCCTTGTACCTGGAAGTACCAGGTATTTCTCTTAGTTCCAGCATATCAATATAGCAGCTGGGGAGCAAAGGAAAAGGTGAGCACAGCTTGGAAGGGCAATCAGTCAACCTGTTCATTCGCCCTGCATAAGCAAAGGAAAGGTTCACTTTAAGTCAGGGTGGATAAAAATCAATGATTTTTTAAAAAAAAAAATCAAAAAATCGGATTTTTTTTTATTTAAATCGGATTTTTTTGAATAAAATGCTTTTTGAGGAAAATATATTACCATCCAAAGCTCATTCCATCATGAAATAAAGATTAGTTTTGTATTTATGTAGAATAAGGATGTATATGTTTAATTTTTTTTGGTAAATAAATTCCATGAATCCATTCACAATGTCATGCTCTTCCAGAGGTTTTTGTAAGATTATTGGGCAGTTTCTCTGCCTACAAGATATGATCACAGATGATTGGTTTACTTTGCAGTTATCAAAACTGAATTTGACTCAGCGGAGATCACATGCCTCTTCTTCACAGCAAAAATGTTATAACATGAACAGAGTTAAGAAAAAGACCTTCATCCTAACTTCTACAAACCTATGAATACAGAATCAACCCCTTCAGTGCTAAGTTTCAAGAAGTTCAGTGAATAGAATAGAAACAATATTTTTCTGATTGTTTGGAGTGGAATAGATCTGCACAAGAAGAAAGTGAAACGAAGTGTGAGGAGGAAGGGGCTGACAGTCTAAGTTTCTTAGAATATATATATTTTGTTTAGCCAAATTAGTTACCAAACATGGATGTTTAAGCAAATACCATATGCTGGAATGTTATTGTTTCAGTTGAATAAATCTATTTAAATTGTTATTAAGGTAATGATTATTTTTCTCCTTCCTAACTACAACAGAAAAGTTGTCCAAATATGAATGATTAACCTATTAAACTGGGGATAAAAAAACTAATATGAAAAGTTGTTATTCTAAAAATCTTCATCTACTTGCATATTAAAGTTATACCAGCAAGAATTAGTCTTTATGTAGAAAACTAGGATTTAAATCAAGCCTTACTGACCAGTGATTTAAATCGTGATTTAAATCCGTTTGATTTAAATCAAATCCACCCTGCTTTAAGTCCATTGGATCACACCTGTATATCTTGTCTTATAAGGTCAAATATTCCCTTTAACTGATTTGACTGAAATTGGGCTGCAATGTGTTACTGCAAATGGCACCTTTTGTATATTAAATATGCTTGATGTGCTGTCACAGGTTGGTTTTGGTTCTGGAGGTCCAGTGCATGACTTTGTGTTAGCAGACCTGATTTCACATAGATAAGCCATTTAATGTCCTGCTAATCACCACCTCTCTTACAGGAAACATTTTCAACGTTGAAGAACTGGGTGAAGGAGCTTCGTCAGCATGGACCCCCCAACATTGTGGTGGCAATAGCTGGAAACAAATGTGACCTAAATGATGTCAGGTACTTCTGGTTACCCTAGTACAGATATTGGCTTTCATTCTATAGCCTTGTATGCAAGCCTTGTTTTATCCATGTTAGATTGTCTATCAGCGCTACACTGGGAAGATGATCCGATGATGATTGGTGTAGCCTGGACGTGTCCAAATTCAACCTAGAATGATTCTGTACAGCCAATCAGATTCTCCTTTCCTTGTCTAACCTACGCTGATAGTGTGATAAGAAGAGGCCTGTTATTTTGCAATGGGTCAGAAACACTGCTGTATTTTAATACTAGTAAATTAAATATGGTAAGATGCAGTAGGCCATATCGGTCAATCGGAAATCCTTTTAAAACGAATGTTCACTTATAAAATGGACTTCCTCTTATCTGCCCTCCACCCTTACACAATAGGAGATAATTGTTTTATGTTGGCAGTGTAAATACCTATATTTTGGTGCAGGCCGCTACCTCCTTATTCCTTGACTAGACAAGGATGGCGAAAAGATCGGCCTTCACTTCCTTTTAGGATGTCAATTCACACATTCCAGAAAGCAGTGTTCCACTTGGAGGCAATCTTCTATATGCACAGACATGCCAGCAGGTCTACCAGGTCTCAAATACATGGCAGACCTGTGCAGTGCCTGCACATACGCGAGATCCCCTGTGCAAGTTCAGTGACACCACAAGCCTCTGCTAGGTCCCAAATATCCGGCAGGGACCTGCTGGGTGTCTGCACATGTGCAGAGAGGAATTTCAAGGTGGCAGCACGCTAGGAGAGGGGTGGATGGAGAACTTCAGAAGCAAGCAAGTACCTGGTGGTGGAGCCTGATGTGGAGATGAAGGTGTCCTCTTACACCTCCCATTCAGTGCCCCTGGTAGAGCAGACAGGAGGTACCAGAGCCAGGAGTGGCAGGAGTGCCTGGCAGGTCTGCAATGTCAGCTGGCAGGTGAGTAGTCCGTATGACCAGGATGCAGGCTGGCTGAGGATGTAGGGTAGCAGGAGCAGCAGCTGGCAGATACTAGCAGCAGAGTAACAGGAACTCAGCGACTGCAGATGACTGGTAGCGGATGACGGCCACAGACTGGACAGATAGCAAGGTCAGGCAAGTTGGGTCAGGATCTAGCAGGCGAATCGGGAACAAACAGCAGGCAGGTGGATAGTCAGCGCTCAGGCCAAAGAGTCAGCAATGGTCAAGCAGATAGCAAGCATGAGCAGACAAGATGTAATTCAAAGGCAAGCCAAAGTCGGTACAGGCGGAGTCCATGCGAAGTCAAGACAGGTCAGGTCGGCAATAGGATCAGGATACAGAAGATCGCAGATAACAAGACCTAATAGACCAAAAGGCAAAGACTCATAGTGCAGTATGGTTGAAATAGCCCGTCTGGCAGTGGGCATGCACGCTGGCGCACGGAAGTGGGCATGGCTGATGGGCAGTCAGCATTGGCGCATTAATGTGCACCTCGGCATTCCTGGTCTTCCCTGACAACTGGACTCCATGGACTAGTCAGTGTGTATTTATTTTCTTATTCTAGACAAGGACAACTGTTACCTTGCTAAAAATGTATTGCATCCTCAGTTTCATATTGTCAGTTATGCTCTGAAAACCATATTTACTGATGGTAACTGTGAAAATCATGTCAATACAATCCGCTAACACTTTCACATACCCACTGTAAAGTTTTAGATATGCATCATAATGCATGAAAATCTGAAGTGTCATCTGTGCCCCCCTTCTCATCATTGTCTGTGCCCCCCTTCTCTTCACTATTGTCTGGGCCCCCCCCTTCTCTTCATTACATTGTGGGAACTCACAACATAAGGCCCATACAGCGGAATACATGAAGTTCCATTGAATGGCCGAAGCTGATCACTTTTTCCCTAGCTATTACATTGCAGAAGAGGTATGGGTGGAGATTTCCTAAAACTGGTGCACCCAGATTCTGCATGGAATCCAACTGGCTTCTAACTTCATCTTGTTCAGTTAAGTGTTGGCAATAAAACCTGGAATCCGACTGGTTTCTATGCAGAGTTGCACCAGATATAAAATATTTGCATGGTGTAATAAGCTGCTTGGCTGGAGTTCTTTAAATTGCAACCCCCTTTCGATAATAAATCTGATATTGTAAGAAACATTCACCCTTGTCAACAGAATTGATTCCCTTTTCCTTTTAGGGAAGTGCTGGAAAAAGATGCTAAAGATTATGCTGATGCCATCAATGCTGTGTTTGTGGAGACAAGTGCCAAGAACGCCATCAACATTAATGAGCTATTCTTAGAAATTAGTAAGTATACAGGCCGCATCCTTAACAACCAAGTCCGCTCCATTTCTTTCTTGTCATAGGTTGTCCGTAAAGAGACCACATGGGCAAAGTAACAGGACCTCTTTACAGGCCACCCAACCCATTTATATTGCTCTCCTTGGCACTCCTTCCACTCCTTCCCAGTTACGCTTGACAATTGACCACTAGGTACAAGCACTGCATCATGGGAGAAGGTCACATACTTCTCCATACGTGAAGGTATTGGCATTTCTCAGCAACTGCGGCAGAACAATGGAACATTGGAGAAATTGTTTATAATTGGGTTGGATGTAGGCTCATTAGAGATCCTGTCTCTAAGATGTCAGTCTCTTTAAATAACTCCTTTTTTTTTTTTTTTTTTTTTTTTTTTTTTTATAGGCAAAAGAATCCCATCAGCCAATGCCAGCGCCACATCCGGAAAGGGATTTAAGCTTCGAAGGCAATCTTCAGAGGCAGAGCACCGATGCTGCTGACCAGATGGATGTGTAGACAGGACTGTATGAGAATGGTGCCTCCACCGGTCTAGTTGCCACTATGCACACAGTGTGTACGCTTCCTCCGCTGTAAGCTTTCCACAGAAAGGGAAAATGTATAGACACCGTCCGTCTATGGGGTTTTTTTTTTTTATATACGATAGCCTAGAATTTTCGGTACTCCTTTTTGGAAGGATCTCTGTTCTCCCTGCTTAACCCAGAGCTCCATCGTTCATCTTTCCATGCTTGTCCTCTAGGAGGACATGGAGGCCATTCAGATGGAAGACTGGGGCTCTCTTGTAGCCATTCCAATACTCAATAATGAACATTACATTTTAGATTTTTTTTTTTTAAGTGAGTCAATTACTCATTTCTGTGGTTTTTAAATTAACATCTCCTGGAGACAGGGCTGTTCAGAGGAAAGATTGGCCCATTTGCTTTAAGACACAACTCCGACAAGATATGACAGTTTTATGATAATACTTAATCCTTTGACCCTTAAGGATCAATATTGGGCTTACTGAATTAGGGCAGACAGTTAAAGAATTCACCATAAACACTACATGTACTGTATATAAAACGCAGTGTAACATCATTTTACAAGACCTACAACCTTTTCCATAAAAGATACATTTTTTGTTTTAGGTTGGTAAGGAATTTTTGAGCCGCCTTTGGCAGTCCTATACTACTTTGTGCATTTGTTACATTGGAAATGGCTTGAGAGCACAGCATCCTCAGTGTTCCTTTAGTGATGCATTAAACACTCTCGTAGTAAAATGTATCTTTGGGAGCAGTGGGGACGTCACACTTTAAATTCCCCAGACTTCCCTTATCCCGGATACGCTTCATTGAGCGAATCACCTTGAGACATGAAGAAGGTAGCACAGCAGAGAAGATGTTGGACTTCAGACAGCCATCAGCAGCTCTCCTAAAGCCAAGAAAAGTGGGTATAGTTGTGGGCTCATCGGTGGTCATTCAGAATGGCAAAAATCTTGAGATTTTTTCCTTCTCTCTACAGTCTCATTTTTAACACTAGAACGGCATGTTCTTACATAGCAGGAAACTACTACAAGGAGACACTAGAAATTTTACTAAAAGCCTGCCCATTAGCTGTAAGAATCTAATCCAATTTTTGATGCTGGACTTCCGTAAATCCAATTGGATAATCATTTTATTTAGTGATTGTGGCATGTTTTAATGCTAGCATCTAAAACCCCTTTTTCTAAACACTTTTCCCATTCTCTTCCTTTTTTTTTTTTTTTTTTTAAATCTTGTCAAGTTGTCTTTTAAAAGAAACCCAGATGGACCACAAAAGCCATCTCCACAGATTAGGTTTTAGAATTCTCCTCTGCTGTATTTTCTATGGTCTGTTTTAGTGACAGACTGCTTACTGGAAGAGCAGTTTCTGAAATTATACCTGGGGCATGGTTGTCAAGAGACAACTTACACTTAGTTCTAAAGACATCTTAGCTGAATGGAATAAGAAAATGTAAGTGTCCACTTTAGGCTTAAACTGCAGCTCAAGCATAATTAATTATACATGGATATTCCCACATGGAAGAAAAATTATATTTGAAATATATTTTAAAAATATTCTTCCCAAATGTATTGCCATATATTTGAAATGCTACAATTCTGGCCATACTTAAAATAAAAAAATAAAAAATATGTGTGTGTGTGTGTGTGTGTGTGTTGAAATTCATTTTTTTTTTTACAAAATATATGAAATATTTTTAAAAATATATTTCAAATATACTATATGTCTTTAAAAATACAAATTTACAAATGTACATTTTTTTTTGAATGCATTTACATATCCTATATTAAAATTATTTTTTATATGTTAAAAAAAATCTGAAGAATAGATTTAAAAAATAAAAAATATATATTTTTTTAAATCTATTCTTCAGGTTTTTTTTAACATAAAAAAGTCATTTTAACATATTTCTACAATGTAGATTTGTATTTTTAAAGACCATACAGTATATTTGAAATGTATTTGTACAAATATTTTTCATATATTTTGTAATAAATGCATTTCAACATGCAGTGTATGTATGTATATGTAAGTGTCCACTTTAGGCTTAAAACTTTACATACATACATACATACATACATATATATATATATATATATATATATATATATATATATATATATCTTTTTTTTTTTTTTTTTTTTTTTTTAATATGGCCAAAATTGTAGCATTTCAAATATATGGCAATATATTTGGGAAGAATATTTTTAAAATATATTTCAAATATATTTTTTCTTCCATATGGGTTGGTTTAAGCCAACTGGTCTGAAACATGGCCTTTAACTGACTCATTGCTGTAGAATTTGTCATGGAGACTTCAATCTGTACAGAACTTTCTGCATGTTGTGGCAGAGTAGAATAGGTGACAGGTGCACTTTAGCTGGAAGCAGTGCAACTACCAGTCTTTATTTTGTCTATATTTTCCACCCAATTGTTTACCTCTTAAAGGGAAGTACCACTCTTCCTTATAGGAAAAGTGTATTCTTGTTCCTTGTAGGTGATGTCATGATACCACCATTTTTTATTGCACATATTTATATTGTAGCAGTGCTTTTTGTTGGCTCAGTGTATTCAGGTCCTAGTTTCTGCAGAAAGGTGCCCACATGTGGTAAACTCCAAACTACATCTGCATGACTGCTTAATATTGGAACTAAATTTAGGAAACCTGACCCACCTCAATAGTTCCTTACTGATTGCTGACCTCCTTCCTTCGTTTTGTTTTTTTTTAGCTTTAATCAAACAATAAATAAAGGGAAGCCCAGGAAGGTTGAATAATCAGTGGGCATATATTTTTATGAACCCTTGTGACCACTGAGCCACTGTTATCCCATGGCCATTTTAAGTGAGGCTAAGTTTGCACATTTGCTATTTAAAAATTTATGCAATTTACAGATTTTTTTTTTTTATGTGCCATTTTAGACATTTGTTTTTAGTAAACTGAATGCATTTTTCAGCTTACAGGGGCATATAGGTTGACTTAAAAAAACAAAACAATTCCTAATCTTTTCCATTGACCTCTGTGAAAGACCTTAGCACCATATATCAAAGGGCCAATTGTGACTCTTGCTCAGCTTTGCACTTTTCATATGCATTTGGAGTATTACAATGCAGTTATGTGGCTTGTTACAGATTATTGATTGATGAAGCGTCTAGTTAGTAAGTTTCTCATGAAGAATAGCTGGTTCAATCAAGCATGAAATAAAGGGAAGTTCAGAAAGGTAAAATAGCCAGTGGGCATGTATTTTTATGAACCCCTGTGACCACTGAGCCACTATTATCTCATGACCATTTTCAGTGAGGCTACGTTTGCACATTTTGCTATTTAAAAATTGATGCAATTTTCAGAATTTCATGTGCCCTTTAGACACTTGTTTTTTAGTAAATTGCATGCATTTTTCAGCTTACAAAAGCATACAGGTTGACATTTGTTAAAAAAAAAAAAAGTTATTAATCTTTTCCATTGACCTCTGTGAAATACTTTAGCACCGTGCATCAAAGGGCCAATTGTGATTCTTGCTTGACTTTGCACTTTCACATACATTCGGAGTATTACAATGTGGTTGCATGGATTGTTACAGATTATTGATTGATGGAGCGTCTAGCTAGTAAGTTGCCCGTGAAGAATAGCTGGTCTGATCTTCCTTTGGTGGCTACTAGTAGTTTTAATCCCATGCAATTGTGATAACAATGAATGTTTTTATATATTAATGTATAGTTTGTTCACACACATTGCAAGCTCTTCTTGCTTCTGAGAAAGTTATCTCTAAAAACAGGTTCCTCTTGACCGACTTGAGAGAATGCCTTACTGATTACAGATTGGCCGTCTCAGCTGTTGGAATATTAGCAGCAAGTTGGAGGAACATTTAAGTGCTAAGTCCGCCCTAAATATTTGTTTTTGTATCCATGCCAGGGGGTGGAAAAATGCTTCGGCTTCTGGTAATTGTCAGAAACTCAAGTGATGAGACCTCTGTGATAGAGTTTCTCCCTTGATCAGAGACAGAGCCTCACAACTTCTGCTGCATCTTCTGAACATCAATAAAAAAATGCAACAGGGCTTATGAGACGCTTGTAGAGAACAAGATGTGGGCGGAGCTGGGAACTCCGGTGCCCTTGGCGTCCTTTGGAGATATTAAGCAGCTGGTGGGTGACTCGTATGTCACGATCTACCTAGTACAAAAATAAGCATTTTTAGAGGACTGACCCTTAAATGCCCAGTATTATCAAGTCTACGGCTAGCTTTTAAGAGCTGAACAGTGCATAAAAGAAAACTGCTTGCTGGGGAAATCAATATTGTTTAGTATAACTTTATTAATGTTTAATGTGCTTTTATTTACATAAGAGCCAGCAAAGTTGCCATAGCAGCTGAAGAACAAATAGCCACTGCAGTGACTGGAGTCACTTCTCTGCCTTTTGTCTACGGCGCTAAAAGCTGCAACTGAAAACCAGGTCGGACAAGTTTACCCTCACGTGCAGCTAGCTGACTCATTTGTGCCACTTCTGCACTGAAAATCCAGCATTTTTAGCTTGTGGATCAAGAGAAATCATTAGATTCAATTACCGAAAAATAAGGAACCGTCTCTCGAGGAAAATTATGGACGACCTGGCATCTACCCATATCTGAAGTATACATTTTGTATGGACTGGCGTTTGCTAGTCAGAAAAAAAATGCTGTTGGATGAACTGTTGAGATTAGTCAGAGAAAAGAGTTCTAAAGGTAACGATAGTTGATAAAAAAAACAAATTCACCTTTTTTTAAGGTGGCTGGGAATATTAGAGGCTGTACGTTTTTAATAAAACATTTTTTGTACATAAACATTCACTTATGGTTCATCAGAGCATGAATGGTCCTACTGATGGACTGGGGAAGCCCAAACAAGTCCATCACCATATAATCCTAAAGGGAAGCTTTATAATTTGATTGCATATTTACAACATGGTTGTTCTCAGCCTAGTTTTTTGGAAC